TCATATAAAAAAAAATATAAAGAGCTTATAAGTCTTAACTAAGCGAAGAAGAATTTCAAGCCAAAATTATTTTTTTAGTTTTATATTCAACTAATTTAACTAAAAGTGATCTTTCAAGACTTCAATTTTATTGAATTTAGAGCTACGTAAAGGTTTTTTCAGTATCTTCTGTGGTTAATTGATGTAATACTATACGTATACCTTATTTACTATCACCATTGGCCTAAGCAAAATAGACTTCAATTACTTGTCAATAATAAGTTATTTATTTATTCCTATACAACAGACATTTGTTTGAGTGTGCGATCATAAGATATTTAGCAAAAAAATAAGTTCAAGAGATCAAATTCTAAAAAATCATAAGTGTTACACACGTACGAACAAATTGATCTTCGTTAGACAAAGAAACTTAAAGGATTAACATGATTGTTTTAAAAAATGGAAACATATGAGGCAGTAATAATGAATAAAATCACATACGTGGCCAGACTACAAGATCTGGAATTCTTCCAGGCCAGCCTTGCTTGAGCATATAAATTTCTCGTAATGAATGGCCATGAGCTCGAAAAAGACGATCAATTCCTTCTATTGAGTACTCAATGTTCGAATATTCCAAAAATTTCATGAATTTATTACTGATGATGGATTTTGGATAAGTTTCTGGCCAACTTTTCGAATTGACATGATTAAGTAAGTTTATGTGGAAAATCTCTTTGACCCAAGTAGTGAAATAAGGCAGCTCCTTGCTACCAATTGAATACCTAAAATGAATAAATATCAATAGCTTCTAAGACAGTAAGATTAAATGATAAAAAATACCTCGTAGCAAATGACCTAAGGGCGATAAAATATATTAGAAATTTTTAACGTTTATCCTACAAAAATAAGTTCATAAAAAAAGGTAAACTACTTTTCTTACTAGTGTACCATATCACCTGTTCCAAGCGTCTAGATAAAACTGGATCTCAATAGACAAAAAGCGCGTTACAAAATTTTAATTCCGTGTTTTACACAATCTTACTTAATGTAAACAATAGCTTGTACCCAAGGAGCTCGAATACTTGTCCATATGCAATATCAATACTGCAGACTTCTTGGTCGTGGCAGTCATTTTAGCGTTAAAATTAGTTATTGTGGGTAGTGATTTTCTGCAGTGTGAATTTCATTGATTTCTGTAGTTTATAAATAAAAAAGTTATCGGAAACCTGTGTTTCAATACAGAAGTACGGATCCCCTACCATACCTTGACGAACTCAAAAATTTTCCTAATTTTTTCAACGATTTTCTACATCAACAAACTCACGTGCCAGCTTGTTTTTAATTGGTAATTAACATCGGTTGTAACGCCAGATCACTGTGACGATCAAATAAAGCTGCCAAACTTGATTAAAAATTGCATTACTAGAAGTCAGGTTTAACGATTTCCTACAGAATAGCACCTAAATTTTATGCTACATGAGTTCTTATGTTTACATAAAAAATAATTACTAAAAAAATCATTCTTAAATTAAATATTTATGATTACGATACTTAAATGTCTATCTTTATAACTATGACGAAATTATGCTTAGTGCAAGCACGTATAATATTCTATAACACTTGAATACAACTAATTTAGTTTACTGGATTTTTCCGATCTCTTTGTTTGTATTACATAACCACATAATGTATAATTATTCAGTATTTAACTATTACAAATGGTGGAAAGTTAGNATACAAAAATGTATTCTCCCTATATACGCACACTAATAGTACTAATATTATGTAAAGTAAAACTTACACAGTCAAAATTTAGGGAATATTTAATTTTATAAGAAATTGCTGTTAAAGTAGTTTTGCTTTGAATTGAAATATTTTCTTTCTTACTGCTGTTATGGTTTTTAAACAACGCTGGTAAAAACGATTCGAAGTAAAACAAATGTAACTTCTTTAACAATTGATACAAAAATGTATTCTCCCTATATACGCACACTAAACAACTGCCACAGGAAGACCAAACATAAAAGTCACATTCCATGAGACCACTAGCATACATTTGCAATTGCACTTGTATGTAATACTTGTGGGATTTTAACAAATGCACACTATTATTTTCATAGTGCAAATACTTAACATTGAGTGTATTTTCAACTAGATCAATAATTGGCTTGTTTTTGCAACTGAATGGGCGTTTAACTTCCAATAGTTTAACAACCTGATCATTCGTCACAACTAATCCATCAGGACTTACACACAACCATGGTTGCTTTGGTATCACAAATACATCTACACTTTTAACAATACAAATATTATTTTTTTTGTAATCACTAATGGCTTTTCTTTCATTAATCAAGCCGTACTCCATCGATTTCGTACTTTTCTTATTATCATAATTAACAAACTCATTTGCAAGTTCTTCACATTTTTTTCTAGTCATACTTTTTACTCTGAACTTGTGCTGATTCGAACGTATCTAGCTTCATGCCACATTTTATTGTTATTTTGCTCCACTGTTTTCATACATAATTCGATAACCTCATCTTCATTTAAACAAATGTACTTTTTATAAAACCTTTTCTCATTATCATTAAAAAACTTTAAAGTTTTACAGTATAAATCACTACAGTTTGACATATTTACTAAGATAATTGCACAATTTTCGACATTTGCAGTTTCGCATTTCATGATAAATTTACTTATCAATTCGTTTAAAATATTACGTGTGAAAAACTTATGTTGATTCATATGTGCGATCCTAAAAATATTTCTGAGAGGACAATTTATGCTATCACTAGTTTTTAAATTGTAAGGCAATATTGTGGATCTAATATTTTCCTTTTTTTTAACACATTAGAAATAACTAGGGGTTTGGAGTAAATACCTTTGCCCAATTGAGCATGAGTCGGCTTACCTCATTCCTATTCTTGTGAAGTTTTTGATACACTTCTTTTCGTATTTACAAAATAAGTCACAGCATAAATGTGCTTACGCTTATGAGCTTGACCAGCAATGCAGTTACAATCAGCATGTGTCACGAGTCGTGTACTATTTAACTAGAAAAATATTTAATTTAATCACAATAAAACATACTAACTTAGATTATATAAATTTATTAAGATTTTACCTCCAAGGTCACAGTATATGGATGTTCGGTGACGGATGTTGTTCTGATAACACTGCCTCTGATTAATCCAATGTTTCCCTTGACCTCCTCTACACGTTTTACGTAAGATACTGCTAAAGATTTTCCTTTGCATATTTTTTGGGGGTCGAAATTAATTGTTTGAGAAATAGGAGCAAAACCAAATAGTATTCTTACATCCATGGCACGACTGTAAACAAAGTCAATTCATCTGTCAAAATACACAATCTGGTCAGTTTTACTTACATAGATTACGTTTGCTATGGCACAAAAGATACTACACAATTTACTATTACACGATACTACTTAATTATGTTTTCAATTACGATTTACCTTATGATCTGCAACAATTTCCATTTTCATTTCGGTCTCAACGGTGTATCAAGCACGTATCGCGAATATTGCCTTTTGCTATGCCAGACCAATAGTTCTCGCTTTTCCCTTAGGGGGGGCTGCTTCAAAATTGTGCACGTAGCGGATAGTCTCTCACCATATATCCTATTTTCTGCGGTTATAGCTTTGCCCCCTTATGTTAGCTTGAAATGTTCTAGAATCGTTTAATTTTTATTTTGTGTACTTTTTAAATTAATTTTTAATTCTACGACTTCCTCAGTCTTATTCCTTTCTTGTATAATGTCTATAAAATCATCAATGTAACTGTGACTTGGTAGTAGCACTTTTAACGTAGGTCTCATTCTTTCCTGTTCAGTTGTTTCTCCACCAGTAGTTTTGAACTCGCTTATAGCCTTTTTAAAGTGTTTGAAAAATTAATCTACTCTGTTTTAGATTTTTAACTTACATTTTCTTATTTTACTTTAATTGCTAGATTGTAATGCTGTCCTGTGCTGCTGTGGATTATTCACGTCCTTCATACTTAAGCAATAACATTGTGACATGTCTTGTTATCTGTGGCGCAGTGATTAATGGATGAATACCACGAGTCGATGAATGAAAAAGTATTGACAGGAGAAATAGTTTAAGTTTTCTCCGTTTCCTGAAAAGTAGCGTGGAGCCGACGTTTAAAAGGCCGGACGCTGACGCTCTCGAGATTTTTGGTTTCGGGCCCGTAAAAGTTGGGATTGGAATCACTACCTGGGAAGCTAGTGGTAAGAGTCCCACGCTCGCAAGGTCACGGCTTTTGATATCACGCTGGTTCACATCAACGGTGGCGTCCCACCCCCGAGGTCGTTCCAGTCGAGAGATCTATGCTCAGGCAGGACGAGTCTCTAGCACCGAAGCTTCCCGTGAAAAGGACTTCATCAGTCCGCCAACTCAGCCCACCAAACAGAAGCCACAACGAAGAACAACACTAATAACGATCTAGATAAGTGACTGTCTCCTTTCAATATTAATCAAGCTATCAATCTGTACATCTACCAGAAAAGCTCGTACCGTTATCGACCATTTAAGGGAATTCGTACCACGTGGATTGACTCCGACTGTGTCGCGATTCGTTCTGTACAGCCAGATCTTAATGTAAGCCTTTTGTTATGTAAAACGGCTACAAAACATCAGTTTATCATAAATACAAGCACCACTCACTGATTTTCCGAAAATTGCCTCAAACTTTATTGCCTATGAATATTAATGTTTGTTGGATTATTTGCTGAGACGATGTCGTATATGACTAAAGGGGTTTCATAGGACAGCTTTCATTTTTTAAGTTAATTTTTATGCGTGTTATCAAAAGTTAAACGTTTTACTTGTATTCAGAGTTTACATTTATTCTTGCTAGAGGATTTATTTTTAGATAAAGTGTAATTTTGTTGATTTTTTTGTTTTGTTTATTTATTAAATACACTTTGATAACAAGAAACTTTACAACATTATTTGGAACTTTTAACTCATTTTATTTTTTTCTATACATAAACTTTTCTATTTTACAATTTTTTTTAGTGTAGGCATTTCTTTTGTTATTTTTATAAAATCTCTTTTAAAGTATTTTT